ATGGCTACATACACATACAAAACTGAATAAAAACCAAATCGCAGAGGTCATAAACTATATCCAGTGGTTTGTTCTATCTTGAAGGTCAGGGCTTCGCCCCAGTAACAATGATAAGCTCGAACAATGTAGTTTATTTATTATATTGAAATACGCTTAGACAGATTGTTTGCCATTCTAAACAAAACGGCAGATATAACTTTAAAATATAATTAGTGGGGTTACGGCCTCCGTGGCCGAGTAGCTCGCACGCTAATTTCAAGGTGGCGCTGTCGCCGGTCTCTGTTTCGATTCCTATCCAATCATATAAAACCTACTTCAAAAGGTACCCGATAAAGGTTTTTTATTTGATTGTATGCGGTTATTTAATTACTGAATAGCAAAGTCGAGCATTCTGTGAGGTGATGTGATCTTATATTCATTTATTTATTTAATCTAAAGTTATTTATAATCTAATAATGCCGCCTCGCTCTTTTTAAGGTTTTTAATGGTTTTTAAATAAGCAACTTTCAAAAATATAGTTCTAATCGCGTTAAATGTTTTGATTGAACTAGAAGTGATAAGTTGAGTACGTGTTTTCCTGAAAACTAATTCCTAACCATGCAGAATTTGTGATGGTTTTATTCAGAGTAAGCAGCACGCGAACTAAGTGTTTAGATGTAAAGACATACTACCGTGACCTCCACGATCCACAATCAATATGTATTTCGCCGATGTGAAAGTTATGTGATCAGATTTACGACAGGGGAAGCAGATTGTCAGCATACGACTCGCCATTTGAAAGGTTTGACTGAGAATCGTTGTGGTATACCTACAACGGTTCGTGTAATAATCCGCTTTAGGATGATGATACAGTGATAAGGGATATCTATCACATCGCAATGCGATTAGCCGTCGCAAGTCTGAAACTGCATCCCAAATAACACAAAAATTCTGAATAAAAATGGGTAATAACTGCTATGAAGTGTACAAGTTTGAGAACCGTCTATTAAGTTGTTATCCAAACAAAATAGGCCTTGAATAACTTTTTAGTAATAGCTAGCATTTCTTTATTAAGCTTTGACAACTCTGTTATTCAGAAAATTCTTTGTTCACCATTATTCAAATAAAATTATTACAAGCAGTGAAATCAGAAGACTCCATTTATGTTTATATTCAAAGGAAAATAATAATCGGGGAATACGTTTTGATTTATGAGTTCGAGGTCTGTTTATCGTGAATTGTATATGTGTTTGCGGTTCTTTTTAACGCGTCGCAATTAAAAACAATTTAATGGATTTTATATAGCATTTTCTTAACTACACATTAGGTGTAACAAAAGTATTTCTAACACAATTACTAATTTTTGCAATGAATGGGTTAAAAAGATTGTTAAATCTCAGTTTCAATAAGTCAGTCCTAAATTCCTTGCTAATTTAATTATCAAAAATTTTTAATGGCGATTGATTATTTTGTTTTTAATGCTGAATACAAGTGCACAAAAGTTTGATTAGTAAGCCATAACTTGAAAAGCTTTTATATAATAGAATTACAAAGAAGGTGATACTCTGTTCAGCAATAAGCTATTTCAAGCTATACTCGCTTAGTAATAACTTAACGATAGCAAAAAATACCATATTTATTCAGATAAACATAGTCGAAGGAACTGTTTTTCAGCTTTAAACCACTTTGAATGTATAATGCTTAATAAATGGCATATAATATTTTCAGTAACACTGTTATTAAGCACAAACAAAGGGAGAACATAAATATATAATTTATTAAGCACTAAGAATTAATTATATGAGCTTCAACTCAACTTAATAGAGCATTTGGATATTATTGAAACTTTTATAAGGTACCTGGGTCGAATATGCGCAGTCGGTAAATATGCCCGGTAGGTGTTATTTCAAAAACTAACAACGCGCGAAAGTCGACAACTTCACTCCGTGCACCCACCGATGCATGACCTTGAATGGCACGCCAGCCACGCGTCTCGCGCGCCGTTCAGTTGGCTGAAACGTACTGTGCTAGATGGTCGCGTGAATGTTACTAAAAAATTATTTCGATAGTTGCTCAAAATCGTTATAAATAGAACGATTCACTAGTACATCTATATCGTGTTGCAAGATTTGATTAGTATTCTATTGATGGGTAAGTGTAACTTGGAACTATTTGAATATTTTTTTATGTTATTTATAGGTTATGAAAAAATGTGTTGCAGGTAAATATGGCCACATTGTGACCATATTTCCCGTACGTAAATATATGTTTTTTTTTTAACTTGTTTTTGTGTTTTCAGGAGATGGGGCGTTGTTGTTTCGAGTTGCGGATTATCTTGGGTTTATGCAGCCCAGTATCACTGCGACCATTGCTGATCTATTGTGATCTCCACATACTACAGTTCACGGTCAAGATTACATTCTACAAGGAACTGTAGTATTTTCTTGGCCGTAAGTTCTTTAATATCGTCTGGGAGATGGGGCGTTACAAATGCCGAGGTATACGAGGCAGATGGACTGAAGACAACATGATAAAGGCGTTAGCGGCGGTAAAACGCGGCGTGATGAAAGTTTATGCTGCCTCAAAACATTTTAATATACCCAGACGTACGCTCAAGAGATATCTCACTGATAATAAGATAAAAAAGGCATCCTTAGGAAGAAAACCATTACTCAGTGAAGAACAAGAAAATGACCTCGAGGCTCGGATCGTGCGCTTGTCCAATGTTGGGTATCCCATAACTCCATGTGTATTAAGGACTAGTGTTAAGACCTACTGCGAAATGAACAATATACCCCTATCGAGCAACAATGCTATGATTGGCCGTGATTGGCTGAGAGGTTATCTTAAACGTCATAAAGGCGTAAGTCGAAGAAAAGCACAAAACCTTAACCCAGCAAGAGCTCAAAAGCTCAACAAAATAGTTGTGGCTGATTATTTTGAAAAACTCCGTAAAGTCTTAGAAGACAATAATTTACTGAATAGCCCTGAACGAATCTTTAATATTGATGAGAAGGGGTGTCAGTTAAATCTTCATAAATCTCCTCAAGTTTTGGCTCAAAAAGGTACAAAGAGAGTGCATATAGTAGCACATGAACATGCAGAGAATGTAACAGTAGTGTCGTGTGGCAATGCTTTGGGTCAAGCTATACCGCCCATGATCCTATTTAAAGGAAAGCGGCTGAAGCCAGAGTGGAAAGACTCATTACCAAATGGAACAAATGTGCAAATGACTCCTAAAGGAAGCATGAATATTGATACTTTTGTTGAATGGATACACCATCTAGCTAAGTACAAACTTCCTGGGCCATGTCTCGTGGTGTTTGATGGAGCAAAATGTCATTTGGATTACTCCATCGTAGAAGCTGCTGATAAATTTGATATAAAGCTTTTTTGTCTGCCCAGCAACACGACACACGAGCTCCAACCAATGGACAAGTCAGTGTTTCGCTCATTTGAGTATTTCTGGGATGAGGAAGTGTTGAAGTATTGGGCGCATCACGAAGATAGAAGGATCACAAAACAAAGGTTCGGTCCCATATTTTCAAAAGTTTGGGACAAAGCTTTGACTCCCGCTAACATAAAAGCTGGTTTCGAGGCTACTGGAATTTTTCCGTTCGACCCAACAAAGATTCCTGAAGAAGCTTACGCGCCAAGTATTCCTACTCATGTATCGATTCCGGGAGACTGTTGATCCAACTACTAATGCTTCCAGCGACAGTGAAGATGATGTACCACTGTCGGCGTTTGTTTCTTCAACAAAAAGAGATTCTACAACGTCTTGCTCATCTGGATCTGAAGACAATACACAAAGCCCTTCATTCCCAATGAGGAAGTGTACGGCTACTAAAAATTTTATCCTAGGTCGATCCGAGATGTCTCGCGAAGATGAGACTGTTCATGATTCCGCAAGATTTCGAGAATCTGATACTTCAAATAAAAATACTACAGATACCAAATTATCTTCTTCTGAGATTGTAACTGTCTTAGACCAACTCTTGTTATCATCTAAGGACAGAAACATTCAGACTGCAAGTCCATCTTTGGTAGATAACGTTTTATTTGAGGCTTCAACTAAGGATTCAAATGTGGCTATTGAGGCATCACCTCCAATGTTTGATAAAGATTTAACCCCAGTCAAGGTTTCTGATATGGCTATAGAAGCTTCGGCTCTATTAGCTGCTACTTCAACCCCAGTTAAGGATATGGCTTTAGAAGACTCAGCTTTGGTAGCTGCTAAATATTCAACTCCGGTTAAGGAGTATATGGAAATTGAGGATTCAGATCCTTTGATTACCAAATCTTCAACTCAAGATTGTAACAACAAGACTGTGGAGTCTCTATTACCAATGCCATCAACTTCATCAGGCGCTAACGTATCATTCAAAATGATGTTCAAAACTCCACAGAAAATTTCAAATCCAATTGTAACTAGAAAAAAAGCTATTAACAGTCTAGCACAAGTATTAACTAAAGATATTTTTGATAAAGTTGCTAAGAAGCAGAAAGTGACAGTTGAAAGCAAAAGCCAAGACAAGAATATGGATAAAGAAGGAAAAGGAAAAGGGAAGGGAAAAGGGAAGGGTAAAGGCTTGAAGGAAAGACCGTCTAATGTGTCCTGGTATTGTTTTGTATGTCAAGAAGATAAAATTGCTGATATGAGACTATGCATAAATTGTGCATCTTACGTCCACGAGGAATGCGTGGGGCTTACTGCTAAAGATAAAGAACAATTCATTTGCATCCGATGCGAAAATTAAAAATAATAAAAGTTCAGTTGATTAGGAAAGTATAGCTGATTGTGATAATGTTGTTCTCTTTTTTATTATTTAAAATTTATTATTTGAAAAATTTATTCTTATTTGATTTAAGAAGATGATTACTTTAGTTAATATTATGTTACAGTTAAAATGGAAGTGCCATTAAGTATTAAGCTTCTTTTAATGCCATTAAGTTTCTTTACGTATTTAATTCCTAGATCTCAGAAGAATAAATCCAAAGTTTTTTGTTTTCTTTTTGTTAAATTATCTTTACCATTTATAATAACTAATACAGTTAATATGCCCATAGTAAGGGCATATTAACCAACATGGTCGGAAATATGGTCAATTCGCCATTTTTTTTAAAAACTTGTTTGGCCGCAATCTCATTCATACCTTGGAGTATTTCTTATAGCCATATGATAAATAGTTAATATACATGACAGAAAATTGATTAAAGCTATTCCTAATCATCAAAACAAAAAAGATGTAGGAAGTTACACCTTAAGATGACCATATTCGACCCAGGTACCTTACAAACAATATTCATCTTTAAACTATAAAATACTTTAAATGTGTACTGTTACTACTGTTTATAGGTAATGGAGGGCTGGCTGAGCTTCCAGGTTGACACATTTCATGTTTATAATGATACTGTATCAGGGGTGTAGCTCCCTACCGCCATATCAATGAATTGGGCCTCCCAGGCTACAGAGGCCCATAACGTGTATAGGCATAAACTAACTCTCCATTTGCCCTCCCCCCAACTTATTTTGTTATAGGGCATCACCAAGGCTCGCTATGCTACTGTACTGTATTATATGGCTTACCACAATAACTTTTTGGCACATTTGTCTTAATGCATTTAAGTCCTTCTCTAGTTTTATTTTTAATTCCATTTATATCTAAGAATATTGTAGATTTGATTAAACAGAACATTCAAATACACCAACTATATATTAGTCTGTATTTAATCATAAGATAAAAGTAATTTACATATTTTATTGTTATATCCCACCATGATATTGCACTTTGAGTAATACTGAATATGTCTTGAAAGATGAATAGGTAAAAAATATTATTATAATTACATTTATAATAAGTGCAATGATAATTATTAAAAAAACAGTTTCTGCAAGTTTTTAATCTACAGATAGCTAATACATTCATAACACATTAATAAGTAGTACCCAATCAAATGATTTGCTTGTTCCTATTCTGTTGTTTGTTAATTTACCTAACCAAGCATTTTAACTTGCTTTAGGGAGACCTTTTTAATTAGTATTAATACATTTGTAATTAATAATATAGAGTGAATATGTTTTTAGTTTCCATGTAGGCATCATCGATTGCAAACAACATGATAAGAAAAGTGACATCACAATTTTTCCATTTGTGCTCACAGTATGACTCATCCTCTCAGTCTCAATCATTGAAACATAACACAATAAAGATGCTCTTTTGATATTCAGCTTCAACTCTAAAATGCACGGATTTGAAGTATGATTTCAACGATTTTATTCTGACAAAATATATACAAGCCCCTCGGCAACATGAAGGAGTTATAAAAATAGTTATAAAGCTTAAAAAACACGAACATCAGACAAAGTGTACAGGTTCACGAGAGATGGGAATGTAAATGGTGCAACAGATCAGAACTCACTTCACTCACTGGAGTCAAGTCGCGGGCGCGCCGGTGGGGCGCTGTATCGCACTGAGAGTCAGACGCTGGCGGCCCGGCAGGGCTTCACCGCCAGCTAGAGTGCTGCAGATTCGGGCGCCATCAGCGGCGACAGGGGGCCCGCCACGCGCCGGCCACGCTCCACCTCGAACCGGAGCTCTGGCGACGCACGTCGCCCCATGCTGCTCGTCGTACCATCTTCCGGTAGGAACGATGCCACCAGGAGTGCACAGATTACCAAGAGCGCGCCTAACACGAACGGGGGCCCAGGCACCATGCGCACGTACCGCTCCTGCTCTGGTTTACCCTCAGCTCCCAATGTCGCATGTTCCTCATTTAGATCCACATGGAATAGGTAGAAAATGACTCCGAACATAGCTGGGCCGAGCCCATTGCACAGACCGCGCACCCCCGTCACCATCCCTTGCACGACACCTTGCCGGTCAGCTCTGCTGTTGACCGACACATAAGCACTAATTGCAGGGTATGTCACTGACCCGAGGGCAGCCAACACACCTGCCGCCCACATCATCCATGTACGGCTCCCGAATCCATACCACATCAATTGTAACATTTCAAACAGTAGCCCCACCATTATTGTGTGTTTGGCTCCCAATGATTTCATCAGGAAGCCTAGAACCACTTGTACACCAATGCTGAGAACTCCTACTATTGCAATGAAGATTGCCACTTGTACTACACCAAAGCCCATCACTAGTTTTAAGTACACAAATATGCATGAATATTGTCCAGCTTCAGGCAAATATGATAGGAACACTGCCACACACAACATAAGCACTGTACGCTCCGCTCCAACTTTTCTTAAGGCTGCAAAAGGATCGGCTTGTTCCCAGCTTATAGCGGGACCCCATCCGCTAGGTCGAACTTTTTCAGGTAAGCTTTCAGGAACAGCAACCATGATGAAGAAGACATCTAACACGGCTACGGCTGTAGCTGCGGCGACGACCAACGCTTCACCATATAAATCCATCAAGTAGGCGCCGAGGGCTGGTGATATCACCATGCTGGCAGCGAACGTGGCTGATACCAAGCCGTAAGCGCGTGAGCGTTCCGCTTCTGTCGTCACATCGGCCACGTACGCGAACACAATCGAGAACGTCACTGCGAATACTCCGCTGATGCTGATCATAGCGAAGAACCACCAGGTGTTGATTGTCATTAAAGGGATCGGTGCACAAGTGAAAAATACTGTTACCAACAGGAAGAATTTTCGTCCCCACACATCTGACAGAGCTCCGATGAGTGGTGCAGACAGGAACGACAGGATGCCCTTGATGCCCATTATCAGCCCGTTCATTAGGAACGTGTGATCCGGAAAGGTGGCGTTAAGAACTGAGATGATCGGCATCGTGAGTAGGCCCCATGCGAAGAATTCTAAAAAGATGACAACCAGCGCGTGAAAAACAGAAGGCTCGCCAATTCCCGACATTGTCATGATCCCGTCTTTCATAACAGTTTTTCTATTTCGTATCACCATTTCTACTTCAGTTTTTGTGGTCTTCGTGGGCGTCATTTAAAATTTAATTAGTATTTCCCTATAGAACTACTTATATTAGAAACATTATGAAAACCTAAGCACTACATGGATGAAAACTTGATAAAAACGAGCTAGACAGGAGCTAAGTAGAAGCAACGTCAAAAATCTACCAAAGAGAATAAGATACTAAAAAAAAAAACGAACTTAACGAAATACAACCATAGATATTTTTTGTAGATTGTTTTGTAAAGGATAGGCGAAGGGAGCTGTGTCCATCCCAACCATTTATTTCCGTTGTATTTCTTCGATATTATAGAAGAAAATAGGCCGTACCCGTGTCTTTAATGAAGAACCATAGCTATGATAATAGCATAGAGCTAATATGTTAGTCTACTACTATGACACTATAAATGAACTCTATCATTACATAAACTGAACTATTTTTATAAAGAATTCTTAATCTTATCATATTATTATATTAACTCAAAATTTAATAAAATATTTGTAATTATAGTGTGTTAAAGTAAAAAATCCTGTCGAATTAATAGACTCCACTACACAAAGTACTTTTTCCTCGTCCGATGGAGCGGATGGACGGGGAAGGATGATACTTATTGTGAAATGCAATAAAATAAATAAATTATTTTCAATTCGAGCTTCGAGCACCTGTTTTTTTTTTTAATTTATTAAAATGTGATTTGGCTGTATGGATTAAAGTCCTTTGCCTACCCTGAAAAGTGAAGACTACTACTACTTAGAGGTGGACGTTTAAACGAAAAGCACTTAAATAAGCATGCTTTTCTAAATAAGTGCAAAAGCTGTTTTTTACTTAGAAGAAAAGTATGCTAATGGTTATTGTATGTCCCGCCATCTATCAAGATATAACTACTATCTTCAATCAATTTTTCTGTTTCGGCATTCTATTAGAGGGCAGCACTTAACATAAATGCACTGTATTATACTTTTACGCGTGATATCCATCTAGACTTTTTGTAACAACTTTTTTGGTTGTTTAATCCAAACGCTTTTTTAAACGGAACTTATACTTAAATAAGCAGTACGCTTTTCTTTGTTACAGTAAGTGTGTTTGATGTTAATTAATTGTTGTGTTGAATGTTTATTAATTGCATAAGTTGAATTGTATGCGTAAATAATTTGCTACTTAAGTAATGACTTTTGTTTATTCCTAAATAAACAATGTAAATAAGTTTTGTTATGAGGTGATGGTGTGTATATAAAACATTCTAAATATTATTGAACTGCATTAGTTTTAACATTGTGTAAATAATAATAATAATATAATCTTTATTGCACACATACAGACAGGAAAACAAAACGAAATCACACCGTAAAACAATACAGAGTACACAAAAGGCGGCCTTATCGCTAAATAGCGATCTCTTCCAGGCAACCTATATAATAATATAATATCGAGAAACGGTAATAGTATTGTGGTCTTGTATTATACATAAAAACCTTCCTTGTGAATCACTCTACCTATGAAAAAAGTTACATCAAAATCCGTTGCGTAGTTTTAAAGATTTAAGCATACATAGGGATAGAGAAAGCGACTTTGTTTTATACTATGTAGTGATAACACAATGTAGCACGCTTATTATAACGATTTCCAAACGTCAGTCAAACACGTTGAAAAAAAGCGTTTAAAGCAATAAGCAATTTTTAAAATCGTTTATTAAAAATCGTACAACGTAACAACGCCTAAAAATTTTAAGCAATTATTCCACCTCTATCTACTGCTACTAACATCTGTCATAGCAATGTCAATTGTCAAATTGATTATCCCTAAAGTAGGCGTCAACCGAGAATACTAGACAGAACGATTTTTAGCGAGTCAATAATTTTTGAATTGCAATGGTAGACTGATAGCTTTCTTATATAAATCAGGCAGAGTAATATTCAAAGGTATATTTAATGTTTTGTTTTTGGTGCTGTTTACAGATTCGCTTTATACTGATTCAGAATCGTGCTGGCAAAACTCGCCTGGCGAAATGGTATATGAACTTCGATGATGACGAGAAGCAGAAGCTCATTGAGGAAGTGCACGCCGTTGTTACAGTTCGGGATGCAAAACACACCAACTTTGTCGAGGTAACTTAAGGATTCATTTTTATCTTACAACACTTTTACTTCTAATAATCAATGTTAAGATGTTATTATGGTATATATTATGGTTACAGTTTCGGAATTTCAAAATAGTATATCGACGGTACGCAGGGTTGTACTTTTGCATTTGCGTGGATGTAAATGACAACAACTTGTGCTACTTGGAGGCAATACATAACTTTGTAGAAGTTTTGAATGAATACTTCCACAATGTTTGCGAGTTGGATCTTGTGTTTAACTTTTATAAGGTATGTTGTTTAGCTCTCTTTGTACAGCCTAGTAGTGCTACTATTACATTCCACACACTTGACACATTAAGTAATTCTAATCATTGTATATCATATATTTTATCCTGCTTCAGGTTTATTTTCATTCTTATTATGAGAAAACATTGAATCAGATTATGTTAATTATCAGGTTTATATTTGGTATGTGTGCTTGAAATGTGTCCTAAGGTAGACAATTCTTAACATTTCAGGTGTACACAGTAGTGGACGAGATGTTTTTAGCTGGTGAGATAAGAGAAACGTCTCAGACAAAAGTTTTAAAGCAGCTTCTAATGTTGAACTCACTAGAGTAAATATATTTCTTCTCATAATGCTGGTTCTAATGTAATTATTGTTGTTTTGATGTGGCTAGACTTCTCATTCCATTAGCCTCTCAAAAATATAAACAGATTAGTTGTAAGAGCTTACGTTATTATATTTTTATAGCGACTTGTACTTTAAAATATGGATGATAGAAACATAATGACAATAGTTTCATCGATTTCATGAGATAATTTAAAAATAATTTGTTTTTAATATCAATTTTTTTGTAAATTTTATTAATATAAAAGTATTTACTAGTAGTTCAGTAAATCTTTAGGTATAAAATGCTACTTTGAAGCAAGTTTTTTTCATGAAATACATTTATGAATGTGTATATAATATCAATAAAAACTTTAAATACTCATCTCAGGTACATTGATAATTCTTTTAAATATTGGAATTAGCAAAATTTTATGATTAAAAGATCTTCAAATTTTTTGCATATAATATGTTACTAGGCCCATAATAATTCTACATTCCCACCATATAAGTTTGTTACCAATGTTAACTCTTGAGGAAAGAATTGTACCAGGAGTTGTATTCTCATATAATTTTAAAAGTATGTTTTGTACAAAGTTTGTATCTAAAATATTGTGCGTAAATAGACTGTCTTTATCTGTTGATGTGTCAACTTTTAATAGTTTCTATGGTATTATTACTATAATTTCCTTCACTTGTAGGAACATAGTGTATGAAATGTATATACAATGTATGTTGGTGTTAGAAAAATGGATGTATTTAATATGCATATCTATGTAAAACATGATTTATTTATAAAAATAAGATAATGTAAAAATATAGAAATAATAAACATTTGCTTTCAATATATCACTACAGATTCCATGATTTTCATTTATTGATATTTGTTTTATACAAAATATGAAAATTTAATCTGCAATCTAAACTGTCAATATCATCAAATGCATAAGTCTATATGAACTTGTAGTTAAAAAACTTAATTATTATTGGAGATATTGCAGACAAGAGATCTTAACTTATTAAATCGCTTATATAACACGAGCGAGTTAATCATTCTATTCATAAGTATACAGAGATGTAAAGACACTAGACCCACTCCCAGCGGTGCAGGACCGGCGGGAACATCCAGCGGTCGGGGTGGCCTATGTGGTTCAACTGCGGGCCCATGTCGAACTCGCTCCAACTGCCGTCACAATAAACGAACATCGTAATCATACCCAATAAAAGTTGATAGAAATTAAGATAATAAGGAAGTTAGGTTTTTATCGCATGCATATTGTAGGAACTAGAATCGAAATAAGGTGTTATTTTAAGTGTTAATATTTGCCTAGGCCTACCGCGAAAGTACACTCGAAACCGATATTTAGTTATCATGTTTGCTTCAACTGGATTTATACTAAATTATATTTGATCAATTTTGTATTCACAATAGGGTATTTGACAACATTTAAAATATTTAAAAAAATTGTGGTGTGTAGTTATTTTAAACGAAATAATTTATATTTTATGCAGACTACACAAATAAAATTAAATATTTTTTGACATTTTACCTGAGACGTAAACATCCTGTACAGGGTCGCAACAACTATGACGTCACACGCTAGTAAATATGACTTGTAGTTGACAACTGTACAGCGCTTTATATATTTTCTTAGTGTTTTATCGATCTTTGATATTGATAGGGTTTGTTAATTTACTTGTGTGTTACGTCATTCGCGGCGTATCAGAAATTTAAAATTTAACTATGTTAATTCTTTTTTATATTTCAGAAAATTTCCCCGAAATATTAATATTATGTAATAAAGAATTATTTATAATAATTTTTCAAAATTAATCTAATACTCTATTCTGTATTGATATTTGTCTTATAGAAAATTATCATAATATGTCAAATTTCCTCATTCTAATTGGTATTCTATGCTCTACACATTACGGTTTAATATCAAGACGAAATATGTGACAGTTTTGTATTAGTACGGCGAAAAATGTATTTTTCTAAGATCATTTGCACCTGAATCAGTGCAATTTTCGTACCAAGATAGTAAAACAAAATAACAATTGTTATATTAAGAAATTTCAAAATACACTTAAAATGTTATCGATTGCATTCTAAACCTTGACCATAAATATATGATTCCAAAATAAAAGTAAAGTAAAATATTAAATAAACGAATATAGCTTCTGGCTGGCCGACAAGTACGCTCATGTAACACCGACACGCGACGATGTCGCCCGAATCTTTCTGAACAGTCGTTCAGTTATCCTCAGTTCATCCATTCGAAAAACTTTGGGATTCGGATTTCTGCATCATTTCTCTGAACCGACTCACTTGGTCGATTCAGTAAAGATTTACACACGACTATTTTGTATAAACTGACATGCCGTTGACCGCCGTCGTTGAACATAGAGTGTATCTGATTCGAGCTGCGGCGCTATTGAGAAACTTCAGCCCTGAACGATCTGCCAGGTCGACAATCGAACCCGCCGGTGTAATATACATAGGCACACGCAGAGTGAGAGTGTATTTTGATCGAATTAAACGTCAATCATATCGAAGTCAATTTATGTCAATCGTATGGTGTGAGAGAGATCTACCTGCAGGTCTAGGGGAGGGGAAAGCTGGCCGATCATTCGGAGCGGCAAAATAAGTTATCATTATAATGAATAGTTAGAGCCTTGTGTGCACTCACGCGAAGGGCGGTATGCCGCGCGAGATGTTGTGCGTGGGGCCGGCGACGGCGACGAACTGGAAGGTGCGCCGCAGCCGCGCGCTCGTCACCTTCGCGTCGGTGGCGCCGTGGCTGCGGTGCCCCAGCGCGCGGAACGGGTACGAGCCTGCGTACGCGCACGTGTACACGTTAGTGCTACCGGGTGTACGGCGGGCGGTACAGTAGAGGGCGCGCACTCACCGTTGGCGGGGTTGAGGTCGTTCCTGGCGGCGATGGCGTTGCAGGCGCTGTACGGCGGCCGGCACGCGGCGCAGCGCGACAGGGGATCGTGCTTGAAGTCGTTGTAGCGCATCACTTCGTACATGTCACGGAGATTGCGAATGCCCTCCTGTCAATAGTCACTCGTTCACAGAGCAGGGATTAATTATACTTCAAACTAACCCTGTAATACGTCTACATCACAGAACATAGAGAGAGATTAGAAGTATAATGATATTAATTTAGTATGGGAACCGAGTGTCGCCTCTCCACACACAAATGCAGATTAGATGAAATGATCATTTTGTTCACTACATGAAAAACCGCCACGCGATAGGTTCGCGATAACATAAATCAAATCCCAAAAAGATACTAAGCTAAGAAATCACACGATTAAAAACAAACTCTAATTCAACGTGATAATAAATAATTTACTTTAACATGAATGTTGAACTGTCACGTGGCTGTATATGGGGATACCAGAAGGAAAAAAATATTTTAAGATTATGCACATTTAAAAAAATTGGGGTCATCATTTTATGTGCGAACTATTAATATTAGATTTTGTTGTAACCAAGTGAATACTGAAAAATTAAGGCTTTTCCCTACATAATTTATTAAAATATCTTTTAAAAAACGCAGTACAAAAACTAAGAAAACTTAATGATACACTCTATCGTATATCTGTGGAGTAATATAATTAAGCGAGGGAAAGAGTAAAAAAAACAAAAATTAAGAAAACAACAGAATTTTTGTATTAATTACATTAAGCCTAATTTGTATTTTTTTCTTACTGGTATCATTCCGATTGTGCATATTAGTGATGTGACATATTAGTTGATAAAATAAGAGCTTTAAATTTTGTTATGAAACAGTTCAATGTAATTCAGTTCGACAATTTTCTACAGTGGTTTGATAGTAATTATTTAAAGCTTTATTCAAATAAAACAAAATACATAAAGTTTGCATTACCTAATGTGAGGCATGTTAATATACTTATAAATGTAAATAGTGAAAAAGTTGAAATGGTGGAATCGACAGAGTTCCTTGGTATTTTGGTATATTGATAATTTGTCAAGTAGACTGAGTTCTGCAGCATTTGCTGTTAAGAAAATTAGACTCTTAACAAATGTTGAAACGGCAAGATTGGTATATTTTAGTTATTTTCATAGTGTAATGAATGACGTATAATCTTTTGTTATGGGGTTCTGCGGCTAGCATTCAAGATATTTTTATTCTACAAAAGAGAGCTGTCCACGCTATATATAATTTACGGTCTAGAGAATCTCTCAGAGAAATATTTAAAGAAATAAATATTTTGACTGTTGCCTCTCAATACATCAATGAAAATATTATGTACGCAAGAAAACATTACGATTCCTTCACAAAAAAAGTAGAAATAAAAATAAACTTGCCATTCCAAGTGCTTGTAATAGCCTTCTTGAATAAAGATATTTTCATTTCATTTCATAATAACTAATATGATCATTACACTAATAAATTGATCATAGCCATGTTTGTTTTACTTTATTATTCTAAGTTTTATATCTGTAATAATAGTAGTAGCTACATTATTAATTGCAACGACTGGACAATAAGGAATCGCTGGTCAAGTATGAGTTTGAAAGCCGTGACAAAAAAAGTTTGAAGATAGACACAAAAGCGATAAGTACGTACAAACGTCAATCTACATATAAAGTCACATCCGTTTGAGACATGCGTCTATAAACTTATGTGCAAATATGGAGCAACAAAAAAACTGATAAAAACTGTTCTGTGGGCGGTTCTTTAAAGTGACTTTCTTAACTCGATTTCTATAATAATAGTTTCCGATTATGAATCAGCAGAATAAGGTAAATTAAATTGACGCCTAAAAATTAATTTTGTAAATTAAATTCACACCACCAACAATATTACGTTAGTTGAAAACATAATTTTTTGTTTGTATAGATATTATGTTGTTTTGAAATTCATTTGATAGGTTTAGGTCTAAAACAGATAGGGCAAAATTAATTATGTAAACAAGGCAATCCGTTGTAAAGTTATTAGGGAAACTGAAATATAAGTAATGCAAAATAAGTGAAATCCAGTTTCACCAGTTTCTAACAAGACCTATTAGGCCAACTCTTAGGTTTTCACGAAGTTTCGTTTAATTTATGTATTGTTCATAAAACGGTGATATACTTCGTAACTTAGATATTTATAGCACATCAGTAATTTTTAATATTTATCTGCGTGTAAATAATTAACCGAATCTTCGTATTAAAAGTGCCTGGACAGTTCATTATTTCATTTGTTCAGTATCAGTTCATCTATAATTTTCCCTTGTAAACAGTATTTTTTAGTTTTATATAATTATGGCATATATTTATCGATAACGTTGTTATGAAATGATGAAAGAAAAGCTCTAAATAAATATGTTTTAGTTATCGATTACGATCCATATAAATAACAATACGATTCCGATCAGCAGCAGCCTATCGGTACATTTCAGACAAATGGAGGCACAGCACTATTTTTTGCAAAAGTGCACAAAATGATTTACATTGCTGTTTAGTAATGGGGTCAGAAACATTGATGTTGGTTTGAGCAATCAATGTATATTTTATTTAACATTGTGTCAAATTATTACGTTTTTTATATTTTAGCACTAAAATTGTACTTACCAGTGAAAGGAAATGTTTGCATTAGTTAGATTGTATACTTTGCTTTGCTTTTTGCAAGTGATAATAGCACAAAACGGCATTTTTTATAAAAAAAATCTGTAAAATCACCACTCGATGATTGACGAACGACTGGCAAACATAAAACCGAGGAAAGGGCGTCATATGAGTAAAAGCGCATATGCCAGCGACGCGTGCCCCGCCCACTTACTACTTCTATTCTCTCTCTATGTTCTGTGGTCTACATGATAATAAACCTTTTGCATTGCTTGTTGTAATGAGATCCTTTTTATAGAGGAAATTGATAAATACGCAAGTCACGTTGTAGCCGATGAAAATATGCAGCGGTTAAGTAATTAATTTATCCTATGTCCCTATGGATTTGCCGTGGTTATTGAGATGGACATTTACTAACAAAGTTAAGCGTCGGTCAATAATAATTGATATTATATTTGCTCAATAACTACATTCGACTCGATTTGTTTGAAAACCATATCGATTCGTTATATTAATTGAATATTTGAAGCAAGGCACGTCACTATCAATTTCAGATTGATAGATGTCAAATGTGGCTTTATATATAGTCTGTGCATTTTGCAGTCTGTTGTAGTTGTACAGAGCGACTGAGCGTTTTTTATTGTTTTCTGTGATTTTTTCCAACCCGGATTTTCTCTTTGGACTGATTTTATTTAGACGTTTACATTTTTATAATTTGAACTCCGATTGACAATTTGTACCGTTTTAATTGTATCGATGGCGAAACGAGGAGAAACGTTAAACAGTCAATCTCGCGAACTAGTTGTGAAATTGTTCAATTATTTTGAACGTGAGTCTACCAACGGCGGACCCCTTTTACCTGTGACACAAACGCGAGAACGCGTCGCCGAAGCATTGGGGATAGGGAAAAAGACCGTAACCCAAATCCTCAAAGAAAAATATGGTCCGTCAGGTACTGAAGACAATATATTACGCACACCCAACAAAAGAAAGAGAGACAAGAAAGTCACCGGTGTTGATAATTTCGATGCTGTTGCAATTCGTAATCATATTCATGAATATTATTCAAGAAAGGAATATCCGACAAGGAAAAAGCTACTGAGTTCATTAAAAGAGGCAGGGTTATTTTCTGGCGCAGAATCGTCGTTATCAAAGGTATTGAAATCTATTGGCGTTAAATACAAAAAAAGAGTCGTCGTCGAGAAAATAAACAACATAACCTTGCTTGATTTTGAAAAAGATACGAGAATAGACGACATTATCGAGAATGATATAGAAACAGCTCCCAGTGCAGACAGCGCCAGTGTCAGTGATCTGAATAAATAATTTTATATTACACACATTACTAGCTTATAACCTAAAAACAGCGGCAAATATTGCTCATTGTTCCAGCTCCAACAACAGGTTAATAATATCGCATGAAAAAAAACGTAACTCGGAATTGAATGCATTCACTCAATAAATTACTTAATGATTTGTTGCTAATCACATTTAGTTTTTGGTTTGTTGTAAAGACTTAATAAAGTTTAATAGTGAATTATTTTTATATATTGTGGTGAAGGTTGACTGTGATTGATGCACACTTGGCGAGTTGCAATAAAAAAATAACAAAAACTCGGTCTTCATATCAGTCTCAAATGTACACTTGTATTGTCTACACTCCCCCCCCCCCCCCCCCCCCAATAAAAACACGTTGCCGATTACTTATTGCCTTACTCCAATACTATGGAGGGCAGCACCAAGATGGTTTTGCCATTTGTTATACATTTTGCCGGCTTATTGGCAATAGTATGACGTCAGCATGTATTTAACGTGTTTTATACACACAACTGCACGTCAGGTTACCACAATATATTATTTTTTTCAGTTGGTTTTAAACTCTACCAACAAAATGTTAGGGTTTAAAATCAATATAGAAATATGTATAGCCTGCGTGCTGTTGATTGTACAGTGACTTAATGGGATTTTCGATTTCAATAAAGTCGACAAGAAAGTTGTGATAGATTGGTCTTTCACGAGGAAGATCTCGTGCCAGTTTACGTTTACAACAGGTCTTACGATTTCAATCGTGGTCAAATTAATCTCAACTGTAATCTACGTTACGTGAGAGACGGCCTTCTACGGCGACAACTGAAGAAAACATTAATGTTATACCGCGTGTGATAGAGATTGAATAAAGAGTGCTCTATCAGTAGTTTTGCAGAAGCTTAGTGATGGATACGAGTGAAGTAAACTCGTATTACGGCAGCTTTATCAGCCTTCTTAGATAAGTAACTTTCTTTTTATTTGAATTTTTATTACTTTTGTTATTATTTCGCTTTTATTGCTGTTTGTCTGTTGTTAAGTGCATCAAAACGCTTTTTATTGGCTAATATATTATTCAATTAATTATACAATGTAAGCTGTCGTCTGGTAAGTTTGTCACTCATTTTGAGACGCATTCTGCTGAATTTTATCAATGATTTTAGCTTAATGGCTTTAATTGGATGTTAAAACTGTTGAGTATAGTGTAGATACATGTTCATATTGATGATATCGTGTGCTATACTGAAATCCACAAACAGACAGGCAAACAATTACTAGTCCATTAATTATCTGAGCAAAAGGTTTTTGTCGACCTGGGACGTCTCCAACACAGCCGACGAACGGTAGCCGCCGCACCACCGGAACCCCCAGGTCTCGTGGACGGGACAGAAGAACAGGTCGTTATGGAGTTGAAGGAATTTATTATTTTAAACTTATTTACTTTTTATTTTAAAATCGGAAATGAACAAAAGAGAAATATTATTCCCGGGACGATTTGGACGATCGCGAAAAAGAAGATTTATCAATTATGATTTTAAAATTAACACGAACGCATAAAACTGTTTAAAAATTAAAATATATTTCGAGACGGCCAGCTAGATTGTCGAGAGAGTATATCCAGAAGATCGGACGTCACCCTTCGGTAGGTACCATAATCGTTCCGAGGGTCGTATTTATGCCGATTCACGTGGAGCTCTAGACGTGCGGCGTCTTCTCGCCAAATATCGTATCGTTTCTTTTCGCCCTCCTCGTCGAGTTTAGGCACTCGGGCTGGAAGAGCTGCATCAGAAGCGAACTGTGATTTATTCACAGAGGGATCGCCCCGGGCGGGTCGAAAGGCACCGCGGCCTCGCTTCGTCGAGTCGCGGGGCGGCGAGCGTCCCCACCGACGGTTCCGTTTTTTTAAGAAGCTTTTTGGAGGTGACACAGTTTTTAATACGTTAGCAATTGTGATCCCCCGAGATGTTCGCACAGACTGACATACGATGTAACACAAAGCGGTTGACCTGCTTCTGGCGGAAGATGTTGGCGCGCGGGTTGGTGCGGTACCCGAACCAGGCGCCGTGCGCGCGCACGCGGGCGGGCCCCCCGCCGCGGCCGAACACGCGCGGGAAGTACGCGATGTTGTACGACGGGAAGTAGCGCGCGCGCAACACCTCGCCCGTGCTGCCACAGACAGGGCGCGTCAGTGCCGTGTACCTAATGTACCCGATGCACCTAATGCACCCAACGCGCACTCACAGGTCCGCCGCCTCCGTGTAGCCGGGCAGCTGCTCCAGCACCCACAGCAGGCCCGCCCTCACGGCGACCCGCGGCTCGAACTTGTTGTAATCCACTATGTACCACTGGTTGTTGTAGGTGCCGCTGTTGTGCTTGCGGAATATGTGCACCCACTCGCGGCCGTCGCGCGCCAGGCGGTTGGCGACCATGGCGCGTGCGTACTCCATTATCTGGAATGTATCTCGACGATATTCATTATATTTCTCCGCTCGATTTTAAAGCTAACTTCGTTAAGAGTAGAACTCAAAATCGGGTGCAGAAATTTTTACACATTGTGGTAATCTTCCATAATTTGATGTGCTGCCGAATGTCCGTCCGTACATTATTATGATAAAATAAATATTTTCTTAAATACTGAAATATCGATCGAAAACGCCTCACTAACAAATTAAAGAATTAAGACAATATATTTATTTTCGCCTACGTGTACATAGTTGAAATACGAATAATTTTTTAATTTAAAATTAAAAGAATTTGGGGATTTTTTTATACACACACAGCTTTTCATTTTTTTATTACTGTATTAATATTTCTGGAGTTTTGTCCCTAGGGCCATTGCTGGATTACGTCTACTGGATCTGCCAAATAAACCTCGGCTTTGCAGCCCCTACCTCCTTAACCAATAGCATAGATGTCTTCAGTACTAGTGAACTAGCATCGATGTTTGTACCGATATCCCATCATGTTTCGTACTAACGTTAACTGTTTAAAACCTACGCAATCGGTATCTATATAGAAATACTGTGATTTATTTATTTCAGAACGTCCGGTTTCGATTCGAATATTCAGAACTAGTTTTTTAAAATGTATGAATGCAATTCTTCTTTTCACTAATATCGATGACATGATTTCCTAGAACACAACTTCGTAAGTTTTATAGTTTGCCTTTCCCATAATGACCATTGTTAATGTTACTCGCTGTATAGGTGATAGTGTAGTGTAGTGTAGTGTAGTGTAGTGTACCTGTCCGACGGGGCGCACGTACTGGAACAGCGTGCGGTTGCTGTTGCCGATGGTGGTCTCGGCGGCCACCAGACCCGACGATATTATGTAGAAGTCGTCTGTGGACTGTCACCACACTATGCTTATTACCACCGCAGGAATTAAGTGTTGAAACGAGGCTTTAGTCACTTTGCTTTTATGGATAAGTTTCATTCTAGTCACGCTACGCTAACATTTGCGCATTTTTTTATATAACTATTATAACTGTGACACAGCAAAAAAGACACAAATGCACTCGCATTTAAATAGGTTTTAAAACGATCGTGCGCTAAATCTAAAAGTACAGTTAATATCTTCATTATTCAGGGTTATTTGTGAAACATCAGCTAACATAATAAATCGATTTTTGATCTAAGAGTTTTAACATAATACTATGGTAGGAAATGAACTTTTTTTTGCACTTTCTTGACACTTTATAAGTCTATGTATTATTCACAAACAAAAGCATGGCGCTACGCTCGGTCGCTGTGTGAGGTACAGTCAACAGCACGTCATTTCTCTACTTGACTTTAAACATGAATGTTTTGCAGGTAGAATTTAATATGATCTGGAGAAATAAGCATATTGAAATACTGAATTAAATTATAATAAGAAAATAAAATGCAATGTTCAAACTCAGACGCAACAATCAACAAACTTGTAGAACGAATATTATTGTTTACGCCGTTGACTATATAATGTTTCGAGGTTGTTGGTATTTAACTAATAGTATAAAAACCTACATATGCTGTGCATTTCTAAAATCGTAATATGCTCTCAACAAATTAGTTGGTGATTAGGCATACAATCAGTCAATTATTGACCTGCACGAACGCCGGGTACGATGACATTGACATCTTGTATCCGGGGATCACGTCCTTACTGGTCGGCGTCATGTGATACTTCAGCACGTACATCTTCTGGAAGCGCAGCATCGACTGGTAACTGTCATGTATAAATTGTAAATACTGGATATAAAAAGACACTTGCGCTATAAGAGATTGTAATTATATTATTGATATACTCGTAACAAGAATGTGGGCATGTAGTCACCCGTTCACTCTCTCAATACCGTAAAGATGTGTCCAGAATTTCAACAGCAGCAGCATTCGTTAAGGCGTCACATCGGCCAGTTAGAGTAACGTCGAGTAGCGCTGCCGCAGAGGTACCTGTTCCAGGTGACCTGCGAGGTGTAGAGGTCGCTGAGGTCGGGCAGCAGCTTGACCAACCCCGAGCAGTGGTCCGCGAACAGCAGCGCCTCGTCGTCCTCTGGCGGCATCGACAGCGCGAACGCCAGCTCGTCCAGGTCCCCCAGCATGTTGATCCAGCTGTATTTTTTTTACATTGCTGAATTATCAATCGACTTGTGGCCGAACGGCTTGTACATAAGTTTTATGGTGTCACCATCTCTGAAGGCTATATTGTCTTGGATTTGGATTCTGTTTCAGATTTCCATAAACACGGACTAACAGTAGCTTGATTTATTGATTTAAAAAAGCTACAGTATATTTTTATTGGTAAGTAACTCACATGATATCTCGGACGGTGAGAAGTTCATATGGGTCGCTAGTGGCCTCATTATATCCGATGGCCAATCCTTCCAGTTGTATATAGTACAACTTAATCTAAAATAATAAGGTAATACTTAAAATTCTTATATAACATTAAAATAGATTATCTGACATTGATAGTTTCAAATAATTTTGTTTAGTCAATAAATTCATTTGATTTTTATAAATGAAGTAAATTTATTTGTAACAGGTATTATGATATGTAAATCCTATGGTTTCTTATTAAAGGTTCTTACTATAATAAGTACTTGTAAAAATTCATAACTTACCTGATACCAATAAGGATCCTCAGGGTATTTGTTGACCATAGAATAGATGTAATGCTCATTCTTGTCCACAAATGCTTCTATGAGCCCACACACATCAGTTTTGTTATAACAATATCTATAAAATTTAGAGATTTGTATACTATTTCCATCAGGTTACTGATTTGTCAATGATATACTAATTATTCAGTTCAACTAATTTTCATGCTCCATTTTTATTGGAGTTTGTGCAGTCAACAGAGTTTCAACCTTATTTTGAGAGTTAATGCTTTCTGTAATTTGGGGGGTATGGGGAGAACGGAACAAACATCTTATCCGGCCCTATTGTTAACCTCACCTGCACGCACCGTATGGTGGCGGCGACCAACTGGCTGCCGTGGTGCCCCCTGCTAGATAACAGACGAGGCTCTGACGACCGAGCAATGGCGGTATAACCATACACCTAACTGGGCAACTGGTTAGAAGAGGCTAGAGCGAGCCTTTGGCATCTAAATAATCCTTCAAATGTCTCGTGCAGGAGTAAACTTACAGTAATTATGGATGCAAAATTACAAAAAAAACTACCTCAGGAGGGTACCAGCCATGCTGGAGAATCCCTCTCTGAGACTACCTCAGGCAGCCCCACGTATTCTGGGGGGGGCATAATTTTGCAAAATATTGGAGATGGTGAAACAGTGGGTACCCAGGCTGTTTCCCAAGGAAATGCGACTGGTCAAGAAAAAAATATGATACGGGTAGATGCCCAAGCCCCTGTGTCAGTAAATGCTACTGGTGCTAAAAAATATATGCAGCAAGCATTTCACCCAAGTTTGTTCACTAGACAAAGAAGTTCCTCAACTGGAAGTATCAAGCCTAGCTCAAATAAAGTAAAGACTCTCGAAGTATCGCTAGAAGACAAAAACTGGACTGGCTTGCCAGACTGGCAGAAAGTTCCAGTCAATCAAAAGAAGAAGAGAAAGTTACGTGATTCAGAGTCTCCTGAAATCATTCCTACCTCTAACATGTTTAGCGGACTACCCCTTACCCAAGAAGCTGAAAAATCTAAAGAAAAGAAACCCAATAAACCTCCTCCTATTATACTATATGGAGTAGAAGATGTTAATAAACTGACTGAATTCTTAGAAACGGCAGCGAAAAGAGAAACATTCACAAACAAGGTAGTGAACAAAACTCAAATCAGGATCATGAGTGAAGATATAGAAGCATATAAAAGCTCATCGCAGCAGTTCGAGAAAAGGGTCTGATTGGCCATACCTTCAACAGAAAAGAAAATAGAAACTGCAGACTAGTTATCAAAAATCTGCACCACACAACTCCGCATCAAGCAATACAAACTGCTTTTGAAGAAACCGGAAACACTGTGGTTGGTGAAATCATCAATGCAAGGTACGGACCTGATAAAAAACCAACATCTACGTTCTTTGTAAAGCTGCAAAGGAAGTTAGATGTATTTATCACCAAATTGTCACCATAGAAGACCCTAAGAAAAGAAACACTATTGTACAATGTCAAAGGTGCCAGCAGTATGGTCACACCAAAAACTATTGCATGAGACCACATCGATGTCTGAAATGCGCGGAATCTCACGCTACGAAACACTGTCCCAAAATTGATCGTTCCACTCCGGCCACATGCGCCCTATGCTTTGGTCCACATCCTGCAAACTACAAAGGTTGCGAAGTCTATAAGGAAATTTTGACAAGAAAAACATTAACAAGAACATTGCCCAGGAGAACCGAACTTCAATCACAGCCTATTAATGCTGCCAACGACAGAGATAAAGAAAGAAAAGGTGTCACAACCAAAAACAACAGTGCAACAAAAAGTTACAGTGAAGCCCTAAAAGACTCCATGAAGACTCACAACCTACGACCTAACCAAGAACCCCACCAACATCCAACATATGACCGAATAGAACAAATATTTATAAAACAATCTGAAAAAATTGATGTGATATTACAACAAATGAGCACCATGTTGGGGCTCTTGACAACACTTGTAAATAAACTGTCCTCAAAATAAGTAAAATTAAAATAGCAACCTGGAACACAAACGGACTCTCACCCAACAAACATGAAGTCGAGATTTTGTTAAAGACACACCAACTTGACATACTTCTTATATCAGAAACACATTTTACTAACAGTAGCCACGTAAATATAAGAAGTTATAACATATATACAACAAACCACCCAGACGGTACGGCACATGGGGGTACTGCTATTATAATCAAATCTAATATAGAACACTGTGAATTACCACCTTATAAAACAGAGTGTATCCAAGCTACCTCAGTAAACATCAAAGATAAAGATGGTCATTTCAATGTCTCATCAGTCTATTGCCCTCCAAAACACAAGATCACAGAAGAGCAGTTCACAACATACATCAAAAGTATTGGGCCACGCTTCATAGCTGGAGGAGACCGGAACTCTAAGCATGTACATTGGGGATCAAGACTGATTACCACTAGAGGCAGAGAACTCAAAAAATGTGTTCACAATAATATTCTGACAACAATTGCCACACCGGAACCTACCCACTGGCCGTCCGATCCAAGCAAGCTACCTAATGTTCTGGACTTTTTCATAATGAAAGGTCTTTCTCGATACTTCTACCACATTGAATCCTGCTTAGATGGAAATTCCAATCACATTCCAGTCATACTAATAGTTAGTGCTAATGTGTTAGAGACGCAAAGAAAACCGAGGTTGTATAGTAACAAGACAGACTGGGAATTATTTCGAGCCCTTGTCGAAGATTCCTTACAGCTACAAATATCTCTCAAGGATGAAGACGAAATTGATAACGCAATTATGGTCTTTACAACCTCGATCCAAATGGCTTGCTGGAAGAGTACAGAAGTGACGGTTGATAGAAGTATGAGACAGAACCCTGTTCCGCTTGAAATTAGACACATGATTCTGGAAAAAAGACGGTTGCGCAGAGTATGGCACACTAGCCGACACCAAGACGATAAAAGAGCGTTTAATAATTATAGTAAAATTCTGAAACGGACTATAAAAGAAGGGGAAAGTGCATCACTTGAGGCATTTCTGTCATCGTTAACTGCTACTAGTGTCTCAGATTACTCACTGTGGAAGGCGTGCAAGCACATGAATCAACCAATAAACCCAAAGCCTCCACTCCGTTTGGAAGCAAACAAATGGGCAAGAACCAAACAAGAGAAAGCTAAAGCTTTCGCATTGCACCTGGCTAAGGTATTTGTTCCCAATGAAGCTGCTCCTGGTTCTAGTGAAGCTGACATAGATAATGCCCTTCAACAACCCTTTCAACTTGACCTTCCTCTAAAAGCCACGACACCAGCCGAAGTAAAAAGAACCATCAGACAATTAGAAAGCAAGAAAGCTCCAGGGTTTGATCTTATTGATAAGAGAGTCCTGTCAGAACTGCCGCGCAAGGCAATAGTATATCTAACTACACTGTTCAATTGTATCATTAGAGTCGCCTACTATCCTGCCCTGTGGAAGGTCTCTCAAGTAATCATGATTCACAAATCTGGTAAACCACCACATGAAGTTGCATCCTACAGACCAATCAGCCTATTACCTATCCTATCTAAAGTATGTGAGAAGATACTATTACGACGGCTTTCATAAGCTATGAACGAAAACAGCGTAACCCCAGACCATCAATTCGGGTTCAGAGCCGGACATGGTACAGTTGAACAAATACACAGAGTGTGCAGATATATCAGCGATAGTCTTGAGAGAAAGGAATACTGCTCCTCGGCATTCCTTGACGTCCAACAGGCCTTTGACCGGGTGTGGCACAAGGGTTTACTTTATAAGATCAAGTCACTCTTACCTCATAGCTTCTATAGTATACTGGAATCTTATCTCACCAATAGAATATTTCAAGTAAAAGAGGATGACTGCACATCAAGCTTCTATGAGATAACAGCTGGAGTGCCACAAGGATCTGTACTTGGGCCGGTCCTGTACACGATATTCACGTCAGATTTGCCGCACATACACGGAGTCACATACGCAACCTACGCAGACGATACTGCCATATTAGCCTCTAGTAAGGATCCAACAGATGCTACTGCAAAACTTCAACAAAGCATTTCCCAAATAAATGACTGGTTCGACAAATGGAGAATCAAAGTGAGTGCTAACAAATCGTTGCAGGTCACATTCACATTGAGAAGAGAAACTTGTCCTCCAGTAAACCTGGGTGGTAGGGTGCTGCCTCAAAGCGATACAGTGAAATATCTTGGACTACACTTGGACCGCAGATTAAGATGGCGAAAACACATTGAAATGAAACGCAAGGAAATTAATCTAAAGTACAGAGGTTTATACTGGCTACTTGGCAGAAACGCAAAACTGAGCTTTGATAACAAGCTACTCATTTACAAAACCGTCATAAAACTGGTCTGGACACATGGTATCCAAGTTTGGGGAGCCACATGCAATTCTAACATAAATAAAATTCAAACTGCCCAGAACTACATTTTGAGGCAAATCAGTAATGCACCGTGGTTCATTCGAAATAATGAAATTCACGAATTCCTTGAGATGCCCACAGTGAAGAAGGAAATTCAGACATTCGCAGGCAAATACAAACAAAGACTAGGCCGCCATCCTAATCAGCTTGCAGTCCAGCTGACCTTACCTGATGCACTAAATCGCCTTAAGCGACGCAGAACATTGAACCTTAACAACAATGACTGAGCACTAAGTCGATATAAATATAGAGAATGCTCCTGCTGGGGATCATCTCTGCATTGACAATAACTCCAAACACATCTGCTCATAGTCAGAAAGACTGATTGCATGATAAACAAAACAAAAAAAAAAAAAAATGCTTTCTGTAAATACCTTGATGATATTTTATTATAATTGAATAAAATCAAAAATTGAGAATTTTGTACTGTAAATCAAAGTTGAAGATAAAAAAGCATCTGAACAACGACCACAAAAGCATACCTTCATTATAATCTTACAAACAACCAATGGGAAGGCAGATTTCAAATTAATATATTTACTAATAAAATATTACTTTTTCTATAGTATAATTGTTTTCTGTTATGATAAATAATTATGCTTTTTATAATGAATAATTATTAATCCATGTTTTATACTATAAAACTGTTAACCCTTTTAGCACATTCTGCCAGTGCATCCAAATAAGATCCCTCGTGAGGAAACCTTCAAGATAACCAGCCGCATATGCTTGTTGTTCATCAGGGGAGTCTCCATTTGTGTGGAGCTCCAGGTATGCCCATCTGAAAGTTGAAGTTGTCCAAAATAATATTATTACAATGGAAATTAAAGTGTGTGTGTGGAAACTAAACTTTAAGCAGTTTAACTCTCTGAATTTTATTATACCATTCTCCTGATTATAGTCAAAGTCAAAGTCAAAAGTCAAAATAATCTTTATTCAAATAGACTTCTTAAAAGTACTTTTGAATCGTCCAATATTTTTTTCCCTACCGCTCGTTCAGGACGTCTTTTGCTGATAAGAAGAACGAGCAAGAAACTCACCAGCTCTAATAGGAGTAATGCCATTTACATAAACCATGCCATTACCAGATCAATAAATTATAAATAAAGAGAAAAAAAAAGCAACTATGGTTTTATAATGATAACATAATCATTTAATAATAATGGAAGCAAGATAATTTTTGATATATAATGAGTTAAGAAGTAATCACCTATCCAGTTGCTGGATCATCTCAAGTCCAAGCATTCTTATCTATTATATAATCTGATACCTTATAGTAAACTTTTTTGATAAGTATTATTTTAATAGTAGATTTAAACTGCATGATATCTAATTGTTGTATTTTGCTTGGGACCAAAGACCCACAAAGACCCCTGAATGAGTTATTAACTTTTTGTAGTCTAGTGACAGGCACCATTAATTTATTTTTATTTCTTACATTATGTACATCACTTTTTATAGAAAACAAACCAATATTGTTACGAACATACATTAAGTTATCGTATATGTATTGAGAAGCAACAGTCATTATGCCTATTTCCAGAAATTTCTCCCTCAAAGAGTCCCTAATCCTAAGATTATAAATTGATCTAATTGCTCTTTTCTGAAGTACAAAAATCATTTGTACGTCAGCAGCAATTCCCCACAATAGGATTCCGTACAACATCACACTATGAAAGTAACTGAAGTATACTAATCTGGCAGTGTCTATGTCAGTTAACCTACGTATCTTCATTATGGCATATGCTGCAGAGCTAAGTTTACTCAACAATTTATTATTATTTATAAATACCAGTTTTCTTATAATTTGTATTGATAAACAGACAAGGGATGTTCTTATCACTTTCATGCAGAAGATTTCAACTCCGAGATGGCACTTAATATAATTATTTAATAATTATAATTGTGATTTAATACAATGCAATCAAATTAAGCACATCAGGACCTTACTACAGTTCACATTTTCAAGCCATATACATGTGGAAATCAAACCAACATCTATTTTTCCCACTCCCTCTCCCTCAAATCTTATGATATATACACACTTACATAAGTAATAATATACTTACACAAAACACTTTTTCAACAAAACATATTTTGAAAAATACTTTAACCAACCAGCCCAAGGTACTCTGAGATTCATTAAGATTAATATATTATATAGCATTGACAATATATCTTTTATTTCATTATCCCTAAATTTTCAATAGCTAATACCATGATTACAAAACGCAGTGTAATAGGGCACAATTACCTGTAAACTTTAAATAGACCAAAAATACAAATGATTTTTTTTATCAATTTTGCATTCACAGTTATTTAAGGTTTACAGACTCATACAAATATTATTTAAAAAAATATTATACTTAAATTTAATTATAACAAATGTAAATAACTGCAAAGACAGTGGGAATTTTAATATATGTAAAATAAATATTTGACAAACCCGGTAGAGTTGATTTCATTGTTATATGTAGCGCGTGCGACATGAACATCCGGTATATCAGCATAGTAATCACTCACGGCTATGTGCGCTTTATTCCCGGTCCAAGTAATATAGCCATATTTACATTCGCAAACTAACACAAACCCCATGAACAGTAAAAAACTTAACGTGCTACAAGACTTCATGTTTAACCGTGCTTATAACATCAGTCTCTGGATATTTCTGCGAATCCTATTAAACTAATTATAAGGATGACTAATTACTATTTATATAACATTTATTATGATAAATTGAGGTTACAGCTGATTATAAAGGGACAAAAGTCGACAAAAACAAAATTTGAACGTTACGCGCAGTGACTTTGTTTTGACATTTTCGCAGCAGTGTTGCTATCAAAGAGTAATGTAATATTTAGGTTGCTACTATTTTTTTATATTGCTATTAACCAGTTTTGCCACATAGCATTGGACCGCAAATAGCGATGCTAACAAACAAATTAGAGAACATATTACTCGATTATCGATTAGTAATGTGAGATATTGATTACTTTATGTGTCATGCATTATTTTTTTGTTTAATAGAAATTATTTTTCCTTTTTGAAATAGATTAACACCAAAAACCTCAGATACCTCTGGACGTTAAAAAAGCTAGTGGGCCTGATGGTATACCAGCGGTTGTACTAAAGCGCTGCGCGCCCGAGTTGTCTCCTGTATTGACAGGCTTGTTTCGCCTCTCATTTCAGACTGGGATAGTGCCCAAATCATGGAAGCTTGCCAACGTGCAGCCTGTGCTCAAAAAAAGGAAACCGTGCCGATCCGTCCAACTATAGGCCAATCTCGATTACCTCCATACTCTGCAAGATTATGGAGCGTATATTGAATAGACGCCTAATGGCATACCTAAAACACAATGATCTCCTCAGCGACCGACAGTACGGGTTTCGCCAAAACCGGTCTACAGGAGATCTTCTAGCGTATGTCACTCACATATGGGGCGAGGCTATCGAAAAAAACGGGGAAGCGATTGCTGTTTCCCTCGACATCTCGAAGGCTTTTGATAGGGTCTGGCACGCTAGCCTTATAAGCAAGCTTCCATCGTACGGCTTATCCCTGGGCCTGATCAGCTGGATCTATGACTTCTTGAGAGAACGTTCGTTCCGAGTCGTTGTCAATGGCCGTTCATCACGATCAATGGCAACCAATGCCGGAGTTCCTCAGGGGTCTGTTCTCTCCGCAACTCTCTTCCTGCTGCATATTAACGATCTGCTTACACCCAGCATTTATGGGTACGCAGATGACAGCACAGTCGTGGAGAGATACCTGCCTAACGCCCGGGCCAGTAAAGACCAAATACAGTCTGAAAGAGAGGTCATGGTAGCACGTATGAGTCTCACACTTCAGGCAGTCTCCGAATGGGGCGATGCCAACCTTGAGAGATTCAACGCCACCAAAACACAAGCGTGTCTGTTCACCGCCAAACGGAGTCCGTTCACCTTGGCTCCTACTCTCCGAAATGTCTCCTTGGAATATACCGACCACCTTCAGTTATTGGGAATAGAGATATCCTCTAACCTTAACTTTGGGCGGTTCATTGAGTCCAAAGCTAAAACGGCAGCTAGAAAGCTAAGTATCCTAGCGAAGGTCCGGCGGTACTTCACACCAGAACAGCTTTTGATGTTGTACAAAGCGCAGGTTCGGTCGTGTGTGGAGTACTGCTGCCACATTTGGGCTGGTGCTGCAAAATGCCACCTTTCGGCATTGAATTCAATGGAGAGGTGTGCGAGAAGGCTTATTAGTGACCCGAAATTGGATGAAACCAAACTGCATAGCCTTCAGCACAGGCGCAGAGATGCTAGCTTCTCAGTATTCTACAGGATACATTTTGGAGAGTGTGCGCAGGAATTGCAGGACCTAATTCCCCCCTCCCCGTTCTACCATCGAACGTCTCGACGCACGGCCGGTATTCATTCTTTCGTTGTTAACATCCCTCCGGCAAAAACAGCACGATTCGATTCGTCATTCATAATACGTACCGCCAAGGACTGGAATAAATTGCCAGCGTCTGTATTTCCGTCCGATTATAATGTGAATGTCTTCAAATCAAGAGTGAATAGGCTGTTACTAGGTTATTGCGCTATACCACCCAATGCTTCATCACCACTTACCATCAGATGGGATCGTAGTCAAGCGTTAACCTAGAAAGTATATAAAAAAAAACAAGATTATTCGAAATGATTAAAATCCTTATCAATTGAAGCAAATATTTAAAAATGTTGATGTATTACATAATTACTTTTATTTATAATTTTGTGTAGAGACAGGTCACACATTTTTTATGCACTACATAATATTACCAACGTAAGTTTTGTAATTTCATCTGGAACTAATACGATTCTAGTAGACAAAATAAACAAAACTATGCAAAAGGTTTTAAAAACAATACTGCTGTTGGAACATTATGTGTTATTTGTTTCCAGCTTAACCTAACGATCGCAATATTTTCTATATTAGAATCACAATTTATTCGATAATAAATAACAACATCGTTTTATTAATATTTTAATACGTATTTTTGTAGTAACTAAATAAATAACTTGAAACGAACACGTAAAATAGTATCTTATATTGACAGAAAAAACATTTTCCTCTGTAATGTAAGCATTCATATAAATTATGTTCGAACTGAAAACAAATAATGTATGAAATAATGCTCGATTAATTTAGCCACAACACTGTATTTAAGAAAAAAAAGGATCGAGAACTTAAGTGTTTTTGGAACGTTACGCTTACGTTAAATAATAATTTACATAATAACAATACGCGAAGAGTGCATTGTGCTAAGAAACGCTTTTACTATAAAAATATGTTATCTTTTTTATAAAATTATTTCATAATAATTTATTTGCATTACGTCGATTACGTACAACGTTACGTTCTATCTTTTTTTTTTAAGTCAAAAGGGACGTCATTTTGAAAATACGTTTTGTGCAAACTTTGAATGTTATTAATGCTTTCAACATGGTCGCAGTATCTATAAACATACAATTTTAATAGTGCGACAATGAGATTTTCAATTAGTGAGACTTTTATCAACAATCCGTTAGAGTTTATATTCAGCTGGCGAAATTTGAAAATTTTTTATAGTCTGACGTGCAGTTGACTCTATTTTTTGGATGGTTTACATAGATTAATTAAATATTAAGAGTTTTCCCGCCACTTTTTATTACAATATAAATGATGACTCATTTTTTTTCTGACCGTAAGGTACTCGTAGATTATTGTAGAATATTAAAAACGTATTTATTCAGGTATAAGTAATACCTACATATTTGAGCCGTTTGGGGTCGAAACGATGGGTCCGTGGGGCCCTGGAGCCCATCGTCTTTATCAAGAGTTAAAAAAGAAACTTTTTGACAGGTCAGGTGATCAGAAGGCTGGTTTGTACCTCGCCCCAAGAATTACTTTAGCTATTCAAAGAGGTAACGCTCGCAGCCTTCTGGGTACCTTACCTGTAGGCAATGATCTGGGAGACATTTTTAATTTAGTTTAGTTATTATTTTAAGAAATAGTTTAGATAAGTAGTTTTAATTTAATATGTATTTTAGAAGATATATAATATGATAAATTTAGCTTTCATAATATATATCTATTGATATTTTTCTCTATACATTTTTTGCGTTATCAATTTACGGCGATACTTTGAGTTGAAACGTCGTATGATCTCGTAAAGACAATTTTAGCTTCCTAAGGTCCATAATCATTGGTTGATAGGGCGCGCATACGGAATGTAGACGATTTATGTGTTCATTAGTCTGTTATCGACTGTTATTAGTTTATTGATTAATACAAGTTCATTTACTTTCTTTTTTTTTAAATAATGAGGAAGTATAATGGGGTGCTTTTTAGTGCTTTCTTTTTTTCTTAAAATACTTTCTCATTGTCACTGTAATTGTAAATTGTTCGCAAAGTGGCTCATTTATTCTGTACTGTAACTGTAATTGATTCAAATCTGCACTGCGAGGTAAGTTTATATTATTTACTAGCTTTCCGTCAGCGGCTTCGCCCGCGTAATCTTGTTTTATACATAAAAACCTTCCTTTTGAATCACGAAAAAATTTAAAATAGATGTAATAGTTTCAGAGCCTATTCATGACAAACAAACAATCAAGTCTTTCCTCTTTATAATAATAATAATATATTTTTTTCTCATCACACAGAATAATGTCTTACGTGCTAGTTAGTTACAAACCCAGTTGTTCTTGAGGTTCTGGTGTGAGACTGATGCCTTAGTTAGATAATCAGAAGATTACCTGTATTAAAGCTCATCAGACCTCCACTCCCGACAAAAGAATGACATAATAATGTTATAACTAACTACCTACTTAAGGGTACAGTAGTGGATT